TACCATGCAGATGCACCAATCACGAATGTTTTCAAGTCATCTGTGATAGTAGACCACCACTGCGTGGTATGTTGATCATGAGAGTGATAAGCTTGAAGGAAAAGAAGCCGCTAGAGTGAACTTTCAAGAGTGAACTTTCAATATCATAAAATATTTTGGCCTCAGTAAGACTGTCACAATATACTTGCTCACATTAAGTTCCCTGCAATGTGAGAATCTTGTTGGTTTTGCTAAGCCCATGTTACTTCTGTGTGCTCTCTCTCTCTCTCTCTCTAGCTGCATTTATTTTCATCCAATAGAGAAAACAGAGAAAACACTTCTCCCCTATAAATACAACACTTCTCCCCTCAAATGTATCACTAGCTTGTGCTTGAGCCTCTTCCTCATTTCTTGCAAGTTGCAACCACCCATCGTGCATCAAGTACTCCAAAATCCTTCGCCTTATTACTCTCACGATTAAGGTACCATGCAGATGCACCAATCACGAATGTTTTCAAGCCATCTGTGATAGTAGACCACCACTGCGTGGTATGTTGATCATGAGAGTGATAAGCTTGAAGGAAAAGAAGCCGCTAGAGTGAACTTTCAAGTGTGAACTTTCAATATCAGAACATATTTTGGCCTCCGTAAGACTGTCATAATATACTTGCTCACATTGAGTTCCCTGACAATGTGAGAATCTTGTTGATTTTGCTAAGCCCATGTTATTTCCTAACAGAAGATGACTAATAAGTAGTTGATTGGTTTTTTCCTCTGTTGTTACGGTGCAGATACAGATAGTAACAAAGACTGCTACAATGCGTCGTAATGAATGGGTGGAGAATGCTAATCGATTGGTTGCTGGATTTCTTGAGAGGTTTGAAGAAGGTTTCCACAAAATGGTTGGCTCTCTCTCAGTTTTGTTATATGACTTACGTTTGTATGCACAAGCTAATTTAAATATATTTAGGGAAGATATATTTCATTTGCTTTTACTTCTGTAAAACTTGTCGTGGTCTTCTATTAGGGAACAACCATAAGGGACCAAATTCAAGAGCGAATAAGGAAGCGGCAGTTCGGAGGCCTTTTATATGAAGAAGATGATGATGATGAGTTCTATGACGACTTTGAATGATGATGACGAGTTCCACCCCCCAATCCTATTTTCCCACCCACCATGTACATGTGAAAAAACACAATCTTTTCTTTACACACACCATTATTCCTAAAATACCCTATAATTACTAATTATTTAAGCCCTACAAATTCCCGAATAAACAACTTGAATCTTACTGTACCATCAAAAACTCCAAAAAATGAAACCATCTGGCCATCAACGTAAAATATATTTGCCTCAAAATTATCCTCCATTGAAGGCCTTTTACTCTTGAAACTGGAAAATTCATAGTTGAACCTACGACTCCCAGTGAGAAAGCTAACATAAACAACACAAACAATTATCACCATATTCTGGATTGCATTTGTTGCACAAAAACAACAAAAACAAACCAACCATCTTCATCAAGTTGTACAATGATTAAAACCCACAAACTAAATCAACCACAAAAACACTGTGCAAACTGAAGTTCCACTTCAAAGTTAAAAAATATGCAAGCACATACAGAGAGGGAGAGAGAGGGAACACCTTGAGAGATAGGAGGAGACTGGGAGAAAGCTCGGAGAGGGAGAGAGTGAGGACAAGAGAAGGGAGAGGGAGGAGGGGCATTTGTCCTTATAAGTCATTTTACAAAAGGATAAATTTGTTTTTAAAATTTTAAAAATAAATTGGGTGAAAAAATAGGACAGGTGGGTGGAAATAACAGCACTCTAAAAAATATGCAAGCACATACAAAGAGTGAGAGAGAGGGAACACCTTGAGAGGTAAGAGGAGACTGGGAGAAAGCTCGGAGAGGGAGGGAGTGAGGACGGGAGCAGGAGGAGGGGCATTTGTCCTTATAAGTCATTTTACAAAAGGATAAATTTGTTTTTAAAATTTTAAAAATAAGATGGGTGGGAAAATAGGACAGGTGGGTGGAAATATCAGCACTCAAAAATAAAAGCAAGTTCGGATAATTTGAAAGGAAGATGACGTAAGCGTTACTAAATTCGAGAATGGCTCGGGAGAGACGACGTTTTGCGGCGCTGAGCTCACCCGGTCAAGCTTGCTTCTTTATCTTCTTTCTAAAACGAGCCTCTTATCTCTCTCTGACTATGAGTCTCTTCGGCGATGGAGTTTGAGGTTAGGTTAGTTGGGGGCATAGAGAACTGCTATGTCTCTCTTCCTCTGCCCCTAATCCAAACCCTCCAGTCCTCGTCCTCCTCCCTCCCTCAAGTTCTCGCTCTGGAGCTTCGCTCCTCCTCAAACGACAGCCGCTGGAATGTCGCTTGGTCCGGCGCCACTTCCACTTCTCAAGCTATCGAGGTAAGCTCAATTTTCAATTTTTCTGCTTCAGCTGAGGAAAGCTATGAAATTTTTCAGTGATTGAGTGTGTGGATGCATTGCAGGTTGCTCAGCAATTTGGGGATTGCATTTCGTTGCCAGATCATGCTAGGGTTCAAGTTCGTGCTCTTTCGAATGTGACGAAGGCTACTCTTGTAACAATTGAGCCTTCTACTGAGGATGATTGGGAGGTTTTGGAACTTAATTCTGAGCTTGCAGAGGCTGCTATATTGAATCAGGTACTCCAAGTGTTGTCAATTCAAGGTCTTTGTGATTGTATATAATCAATCTGTACATGTGCATCAGTGTATCAGTGTATCGTAACTTTGATAAATGCAGGTGAGGATCGTCCATGAAGCAATGAGATTTCCTCTGTGGTTGCACGGCCGCACTACCATTACATTTCTTGTTGTTTCAACCTTCCCCAAGAAATCGGTAGGTAAGAAGCTGTATTCTCCGTCCTGATTCAGTTATTCAATGAATTTTCAATGTTAGAATTTAGAACTCGATGAGCTGGGATTTATAACTTGTGCTCTATGATGATATCTTAGTCTACCAGAATTATGTTTTGACTTGTGGGTTATTACCAGTGCAACTGGTACCAGGGACTGAAGTTGCAGTTGCTCCAAAGAGACGCAAGACTGTCAACTCATATGGAGATTCATCCACTCTTGCTTCTACTGGAGAGCGCCATATTTCAAAGGCACTACTGCGCATTCAAGATCCAGACAGGAGACTAGTTCACAAAAGTGGTTATGTCAAAGGTGTTGAGCTTGGAGTTGTTCTCACTTCTGTTGCTATGATTCACCCAGAAACAGCAAAAATGTTCTCCTTAAACTCTCTTCAGTTAGTAGCTGTTGTGCCAAGATTATCACCAAAAGAGAGCATGAAAAATTCGGAAAATGATGGTTTGAGAACAAGAAGCAGTTCAACTCCAAAAGAATCCAGCAATGGAATTTCAAATGACAAGAAGGACAATCGTGAAACAATTGTTCGGCTGTTGATTTCTGATTCAGTGGCTAAAGGGCATGTAATGGTTGCCCAGTCTCTTCGTCTTTATTTGAGAGCTCGTCTGCATTCATGTGCGTAAGTTCTACCCAGTGTTGAATAGAGTACAATTTAGCTATAACGCATTTAGAAATATAGACTCAAAAGATGTTCACTGGAATTTACATCTGGATCTTATTTTAAAAATGAGATATTCTCTTGGAATGCCATCTAGAGTTTGGATTGTTCTTGCTCCTTTAGCTGCAAATTTAATTTTCTAATTATACATTCATGATGCCTTATGACACTGTTTCTTCCACAATGAATCACAAGAGCTGGGTGAATTCTTGTGGATTTTCCATGACTCCCTCTTTAAATTGGCTATTGTTATCCTACTGTTAATAGTCTTATGTTTCACAATGAAATCATTTATAACCTTTCATTGAAGAAGCTGGTTGTTTTAATGAGATTGCTTTCATGCCTGCAGGGGTTTATTTAAAGGGATGCAATGGTATTTTGAAGACTGACGTTCCCCTTCTTTCACTTTCTCCTTGCCACTTTAAGATATTTGGGAAAGACAAAGCTGTTGAAAGAAATGGTCTAGAAGTTCTCGATAGGCATAAAATTCGTAAGAAGAAAAACATGCTTCTAACGACCGGCTCAAGCACCTACATAGATGTTGCCGATTGGTCAACCCATGACAAAGTTGTTGATGCTTTTTCATATGAATCTTCTTGCAAAGAGGATGAAGGGGCTAGTCATAAGTCTGACGAGGGAAAAGGAGTAGAAAGTCTTATTAGAGCATGGATCCTTGCACAACTTGATGCTGTTGCTTCCAATGCAGGAGAAGAAGTTAATTCCTTGGTTTTGGGAAATGAAACTCTACTTCACTTTGAAGTGAAAGGACAGAAGTCTGGGATTGAGGAGAAGGTACATGAATCATCAAGTGGCTGCCTCGAAAACAAAAATAAGAATGCTGAACTACCAGTTGAAATCTTATATGTATTGACATTTTCCAAGGAATCTCAACATGCTGGAAATGCATATGAGCTTGTATTTGATGAAAGAAACAAAGGCAACAATAATCTTGGAGGTCTAGAGACAATTGTAAAGCTGAAGGAGGGTGATCCTGTGTCTTTTTATTCAGTAAGAGAGAGAATGTCTGAAAAAGATGTCCCTGCTGATGTATCATCCTTGAGCTGGATGGGGACAATTGCTTTTGACGTTTTAAATAGTAGGTATTTGTAGTTCCTCGTGAAGCTGTTTCCACTTCTGACACCTAACCAACTCTTATTTACATATAATTGTGATGGTCTATGGGAAGTACACTGTGGTAGCCTATGTTGGTTTTAGTTTAGCTGTGGATGGAAACACAAGGGAATACACAAATAGACGGACACTCAACAATAAGGACATGAATGAGTTGTGTTTAAGATTTTAGAAAACTGCTATGTTTTGTTTTCATTGCTGTCTTTATCTCAAGGTGGATGCTCTGGCTGTTCAGGGAGAAGAATAATTTGATGAATGATTCTGATATTTAAACTAGACTATGGATAAGAAAGAAAAGAACAATTTTACTTTTGATTTTTGAATAAGCAATCAGTAATCTACTGGTTGTCTTACAAAAGTATTGGTTTACTATTGAAAGTATTGGTTGAGTAGTAAAGGAGGATTGGAGTTTAACTACCATAATGCACACATACAAGACTGAGAAGACTGAAATGGTTGAGTTAGAGGCATGTATTTTGTCTTCTTGTCATTTTCAGTTAAAATATGGCAGTATCTCAGGGTGGACAGTTAGGAGTTACAAAGAAAAAGAAAACTTTTGATTTTCTTAACTTGCAAATAAAAAACCAGTCTTTTTCATATCCTCTGAAATTGACATCCTACTAGTTTTTAAGTATATTTCCCCTCTCACTTTAAATGATTCCTTGCTGTTCCCTAATACATGCTGTTTTCAAATGTAGGAATGTTGGTGTTGTTAACTCCTGCTTCTGGGGCATGGTTCAGTTCACACGATCTTCCTCTCCCTGGACATGTTCTGATATATGGACCTCCTGTGAGTGCATCATCTTTTAAAATTTGGTTTTTCCATTGGGTGATGCAATGTTTGAAGTTAAATGACATATTTTGCGGTTTTTATCTATCAACACAGTGTTTTGTTTGTTTGTTTGTTTGTTTGTTTTTCAAATACTTGATATGGTTTTTTCCCCTTCTTCCCATTTCTCCTATTAGGGTTCTGGAAAGACATTATTAGCAAGAACTGTTGCAAAGTGTCTCGAAGAAGATAAAGACCTCATAGCACACGTGTATGTTGTTATCTTGACGAATTTCCTTTGTTTTTCATTTGTTCATTGAATTATTGATAAGTAACCCGAAATGAATTTTCATTTAAACTTTCAACTTAGTGCATCATGATGGTAAAATATGCATGTACTGTAATGCCCTATTTTTGCCTTTGCAGAGTTTTTGTATCTTGTTCACAACTTGCCATGGAAAAGGCCTTGACCATTCGCCAAGCACTTTCAAGCTATATGTCTGAGGCTTTAGATCATGCTCCATCTCTTGTAATTCTTGACGATCTTGATAGCATTGTTTCATCCTCTTCAGACTCAGAAGGATCTCAAACTTCAACCTCTGTTCTTGCTCTAACAGAATTTCTCAACGACATTATGGATGAATATTGGGTAAGATTTTTGTGAAGGTTCCTAGAATGTAAGCAATGACACTGATGCTAGAATGATATGTTTATCTATTAATTTTCTAAATACATTAATGATTGTTGTGACATGGTACTACAATTGATTAAGTATGCCAGAATAGTAAAATATAATATATTTGGCACTGCAATGAATAAATGAACTTTATTTCAGGTTCAAGTTATTCTTGTTGGACCAAATTGTATTTGTAGAAATAGTTCTTTCAAACTTGTAAAGAGTTTATAGAAATTCCGTCATTTATTTGTCTCCTGGAATGCTATGCTAATTTGCAACAGAGCTAGTAGATTGAATAATGAGTATTATATATTTATTCAACTAAAAAGTACCTAATCTTATGGAATTATGACCCTGAAATCTCTGTACTGCTTGAGCTAAAAACAGGGAAAAACTTGATCAGAATCAGTAAATGCTCAATCTCTCATCCCAGTATACTGGCAGTCCATTGGGCATTTATATCTTAAATTTCCTTTAAATCCCTTCTTTATTAAAATACGTGTTGCTCAGTCAGACCTTGGCTACTTCATATTAGCATAAAATTTAGCCTATGCTGTCTTCTTGTCATAATGCCTGAATTGCTCTTAATTTTTGTAGGGGGAAAATACTTTTAATCTATTGTATCAGCTATAAATGATAAAATGCAATAAGCTAACCTTTCAATTTCATACCATCGTTAGATGGGTTTATGTCCTTTAGTCAGCTAACAAATCTACTGGGACTCTGAACAGGAAAAAAGGAAGAGCTCATGTGGAATTGGTCCCCTTGCATTCATAGCTTCAATAAAGTCTTTAGAGAGTATACCGCAGTCATTGAGCTCTTCAGGTTTGTTCTTTCTGAATGTAGAATGAGAAATGCATTATACTGACAGTAGAATCACAGAGATTTGTCTGCTTCTTTAATTACAACATTTGAATGCTATATTTTTTTTACTTTTGTCATTATCAGGAAGGTTCGACTTTCACGTGCAATTGCCTGCTCCTGCTGCCTCACAACGTGAAGCCATTTTGAAGCATGAAATTCAGAGACGTTGCTTACAATGTTCTGATGATATCTTACAAGATGTAGCCTCAAAATGTGATGGCTATGATTCATACGATCTGGTATTCTTCATGTTTCTACATTACATCTTGGAGGGTAGAAGTTGCACAAATATTATTACATTCATGGAATTCATCTTTATATTCTTTATGGGCTGTTATTAGTCCACTTTTGCATCCTTATTCTTCCAGCCTTTAGAACTTTAAATTATGTGCTCTAGATAAAAGACTGCTTATGGAGGTGATGACAGTGGATAATGTTGACAACCTTCTCTCTTCTATTGAAAACTAATAAACTCCATTGGAAAGTGCGATTGTAATCCTTACTGTCCAGGCCTCCAACATATATACTGTTATTGAAAGGTTAGAATGTTTGGAATAGTTTCGGAGAGTGCTACCTGCATACAAGGACAAATGAATACAGAGATCTGATCGTCTCTGCTTTAATACATTGTGTCATTCCCCTTTAAGTTTTTACTTTTGATGGGCACAAAAGAGAATGCTTTCAGTGCCTTAAGCATGAATTTTGCGGCTTGTGGTAGTTTCAAATTGAGAATGTTTTTGTAGGTAATCTGATCATTGAGAACTGTTGAAGTTTTTTCTTGTATGTGTTAGATTTAGTTTTGGTTGGACTATCTTAACAATCTTGCCGTTTCAGGAAATCTTGGTCGATAGAACTGTTCATGCTGCCATTGGTCGTTTTATGCCTTATCATTTTGCTTTTGACAAAAGTGAAAATCCCACTTTAATAAGGGATGATTTCTCTCGGGCAATGCACGATTTCCTTCCGGTTGCCATGCGCGACGTCACTAAATCTGCTTCTGAAGGTGGTCGGTCTGGGTGGGACAACGTTGGTGGTCTTGTTGACATTCGCAATGCAATTAAAGAGGTATAATTTTATCAATTCAGTTTTTGTTTTGGGAAATCATCTATATCAGTGTTTTTCACTTCTCATGCTGCCTTTAATCACTGATTTGCTACTTATTGAAGGTAGAATTTTTTTTTTCTCTTATTTTCTTGTCTTGTCTCTGCCATTTTTTCATTTTTCTGTTTCATTATATTACATTATCTCCTCAGCTGTATGATTATCTACAGTTTCAATGAATCCAAAGATGGGTTGGCTCCACTTAATTGATTTCAATCGAAGTTGTTCGACCATGAGAATAATTTTTTTTATTAGCCTGTTGATGTTTAGTAAAATTGGTTTGATATTTTGTACTGCTGTTGTATCTTACTTTCCATGATCTAATATAATTCATTTGTTTCAGTACTTGTCTTTCTGTTTTTGTAATCTAATTGTGCTATCTCTATTTTCAATTCCTATTATCAATATCAGATGATTGAATTGCCTTCAAAATTCCCAAACATCTTTGCAAAAGCTCCTTTAAGGTTGCGGTCCAATGTTCTATTGTATGGACCTCCTGGCTGTGGAAAGACACACATAGTTGGTTCTGCTGCTGCAGCCTGTTCACTACGATTTATATCAGTCAAAGGACCTGAGCTGTTGAATAAATATATTGGTGCTTCAGAGCAAGCTGTAAGTGGTGACTTATTCATTTACACATTCCTTTTGCATTGATTTCTAGTAGACTCTATACTACATTTATTTACATAATGTATCAGTCTTTGCCTCTACCTGATTCTCAATCCATTGAATTGTGCGTCAGTTGTTTTGTGAAATTATGTTGCATACGCCTTTTCTTTTGTGTTTCTGCAGCTTAGTGATCAAGTAACGTGAAAAAATTGTGTGGAATAGGAATTCAGACTAGCATTATCAAAAAAAATATTTTTGGAGATATATGAGCCAATGATCAATGATTATTTTCATTGGTACTCTGTGAACTTGGCTACAGAAAGTGTTTGACTATTCTGTCCAGAGTCTTAAGATTTCAAGTTGATTTTATTGTTCTGCAATATGATGTGGAATTCTTACATAATCATGTAGAAAATGAAAGGGTATATTTCTTCTTAGAGTTAAATAACCAGCTCCACAACAGATACGTTAATGTTCCAGGGGGAAGATAGAAAATGTGTAGTGGTTCCTTATACGTTATATTTTAGAACAATCTTCTGTGTGGTGTAATGCACATTGATTGATGCTGATGTCTAGGTCCGGGATATATTCACCAAAGCTGCTGCTGCAGCACCATGCCTTCTCTTTTTTGACGAATTTGATTCTATAGCCCCCAAAAGAGGACATGACAATACTGGAGTAACTGATCGTGTTGTCAATCAGGTCCTCTCTTGTTTTCTTGTCCCAATTTATCATTTTCCTCTCTTCTTAGTTGATTCTCTTATCCCAGTATCTCGCTTTCTCACAGTTTCTGACTGAATTGGATGGTGTTGAAGTTTTGACTGGTGTTTTTGTGTTTGCTGCAACAAGGTTAGATTCTCTTCAGAGTAATTGTTTTATTTTTAGATTCATTTGTAAGTGTTGAATTTCTGTTATCAGTTTCTAGGTCAGAAAATAGCTTTGTCCAAAGTACTGTCACTCATGGTGGTCAGTTAAATTTCCTATAGAAATTTAAGGTAGCGATTGTAATTTTATTATTTGTAGCTATGACCCATGCATGAATGCTATAACATACTAGAACAAGACAGTGAAGCTTGTGCAAATTGCCTCCATCTCTTGTCAACAGTGTTGCTCCTATCCAGACATAGGCCCTGTTTGTAGATTGTTTCGATCATATTTTCTTGTCTTTAATGAGTATATACCACTTGTCTAATAAAAAAGACTGCATTTTCATGGCAAGCAGTAGACCAGATTTACTTGACGCTGCACTGTTGAGACCTGGTAGGCTAGATCGCCTTCTATTTTGTGATTTTCCATCTCTGGGTGAAAGGTTGGATATTTTGACGGTCCTTTCAAAAAAGGTTAGAAATGAAATTATCTAATCAAAGCATATGTTTTACACTTGTATTTAGCTATTTTGCAATTTGTTTAATTGATATCGACTTCTAATTTTTTTTTCTTTCATCAACTGCTTCAGCTACCACTGGATGGTGATGTGGATTTAAGAGCCATAGCTTATATGACTGAGGGATTTAGTGGGGCTGACCTTCAAGCTCTTCTCTCAGATGCTCAGCTTGCAGCAGTGCATGAAATTCTGGCTGGTTTAGATACCAATGATCCAGGGAAAAAGCCAGTTATTTCTGATGCTCTCTTGAAGTCTACTGCTTCCAGGGCAAGGCCATCTGTTTCCGAAGCTGAGAAGAAAAGATTGTATGGCATTTACGGCGAGTTCTTGGATTCAAAAAGATCTGTTGCTGCACAGGTCTCGCTCTCTCTTCTTTATGTGCTTGCAGTAGGCTCATTTGTTATTTGAAATGTACATCTTCAAAGTAAAATTTACATTGTGACTAACAAATAACGGGTTTGCAGTCAAGAGATGCAAAAGGCAAGAGGGCAACCCTAGCATGAGATATGACTGAACTTGACGGCCTTTTGTTCTTCAGGTAGAGCAAGACAAGAGACCTTCTAATTAAGTTTCAAAATGAACCCTACTGTTGTTCCCAAAAAACTGACTTGCCTGGATCTTTTATTTTGATGTGTTCTAGTACTTTATTTGATTTTGAAATTGAATTACGTGGTTCTTATTTCCTATCATGCAGGAAATCAAAATTTTGAAAGATTGCTCCACCAGTTTTTCGGCAATGCTTCAAATGTAGCTTTGCATTTATGTCGCGAGGCTGATGTTGCTGCGGATCATTTTGCCAAAGAAGTGTATGTTTGCGACATGCACCATGGAATACGTATATAGTGGCACTAGTTATACACCCCGAGTAGGGTTGGAGGCATAACAACTTCACTTGAAGTTTTAATTCAATAAAAAGAAGAATCCAATGATTTTGTTCTTGGATATATAGTATACAGAAACAGACCCATAGGGACAGTAATTGCCATTCCTGGTCCTGGACACCAAGAATAGAGCTCAATTTTGAAATTTAGTTGGGATTAATTTCCCGTCATTAGAAATTTAGAAGGGAAGCATAAAATTTTGAGCTTCTAATTCTAAGGATAGTTGAGTCTTGAGAGGGTGAGATAAGATCTCTGCAATATCAGACCAATTAGCTTGATACTGAATGTATTTGTAAGTACTGAAAATAAGAAAGCAATATTTATAAAGAGTGCTGCTATTTCCACCCACCTGTCCTATTTTCCCACCCACTTTATTTTTAAAATTTTAAAAACAAATTTGTCCTTTTGTAAAATGACTTATAAGGACAAATGCCCCTCCTCCCTCTCCTTGCTCTCGTCCTCACTCTCTCCCCTTCTGAGCTTTCTCCCAATCTCCTCCTACCTCTCAAGGTGTTCCCTCTCTCCCTCTCTGTATGTGCTTGCATATTTTTTAACTTTGAAGTGGAACTTCAGTTTGCACAGTGTTTTTGTGGTTGATTTAGTTTGTGGGTTTTAATCGTTATACAACTTGATGAAGATGGTTGGTTTGTTTTTGTTCTTTTTGTGCAACAAATGCAATACATAATGTGGTGATAATTGTTTGTGTTGTTTCTGTTAGCTTTCTCACTGGGAGTCGTAGGTTCAACTATGAATTTTCCAGTTTCAAGAGTAAAAGGCCTTCAATGGAGAATAATTTTGAGGCAAATATATTTGACGTTGATGGCTAGATGGTTTCATTTTTTGGAGTTTTTGATGGTACAGTAAGATTCAAGTTGTTCATTCGGGAATTTGTAGGGCTTAAATAATTAGTAATTATAGGGTATTTTAGGAATAATGGTGGGTGTAAAGAAAAGATTGTGTTTTTTCACATTTACATGGTGGGTTGGAAAATAGGATTGGGGGGTGGAAATAGTAGCATTTTATTTATTTATTTTTTTTGTGTGCAGTTTGTAACGTTATTGTATAAAATAAGAGAACAAAATAAAATAATATATTTAAACAGTGTAGCGGCTCGGCTATACTTGTTCAATATATTATAATATTTAAATCGTATAGCCGCGCGGCTATACTGGTTTTTTTTATAAAAATAGTACAGCCGCGCAGATATACTTTTTCGGCATATTTTAAATAGTATAGCCACGCGGCGATACGTTTTTAAAAATAAATTATTCGGCTATACATTTTTCCTCTAGAGAATTTCCTCTCTCTTCCTCTCTCCATGTCCTCTCTTTCTCTCTTCATTGTAGCTAAAGCAAGCTGCCAGATTGAGTAGTAACATGTTATAATATGATAAAACACATATTATTAAGACTTAGACCTTCTCTGGAAATTCATCAAAGTTACTGCGAGCCGCTTTAAATATCTGAATTATGTCTTGTTGCTTCAATCGCAGTTCATTCCCCTGTAATACAAAATAAAGTGAAAAGGGAAACAGATTAAGCAGCAAAATGAGAATATATACGAGTCAATGAGTCATCCACATAGAGACCAGGTAACTGAGTTGATGACTTTTCTCCAAACGTGTAAGAGAGTACATTTTCTCATAAACATGCAGATAAAACAAAACAACAATAATGATAAAACCATGTTTCTTTTCTTCAAAATTTCAAATAAGTAAACATGATTTCTGACATAATGCTGGAAAAGAAAGAAAACATCATGCACCCAACTCAATCTTTTTTAATGTTTACGTGGTGGATATAGAAACGCAGGGAAATAACAGCATGATTATTATACTCCAAAATCCTAAAGTTTGAGAGTTCAAGCTGTATGTCTGTATAATTCTTATACAGAATGCTAGATGACAATATGTTAATAAACGGTCCCAGCACATCTATAAAAAAATTAATGACAGGCATAATGGAAAATCTTCATCTCATTGAAAAACGTATAGCCGTGCGGCTATATTACGGTTTTTATTACTTAAAAATGTACAGCCGCACGGCTATACATGGGAAATATATATATATTTTTTTAAAATAGAGTACCGCCGGTCGGCTAAACTATTAGTGACACGTGTCAAAATGAGCGCTGGGCGCAGGAGGGTCGTATTTATATTAAAACCGTATAGCCGGTCGGCCATACTACGGTTTTTATTATAAAATATATATAGCCGTGCGGCTATATGTTTTGAGCGAAGCGCGTACGACTCCAAGCGGTGGTCCTTCTTTTATTATAAATAGTATAGCCGTGCGGCTAAACGCGGGGCCTTTTAAAATAAAATGCGTATAGCCGCGCGGCTATACAATTTTAACACGTGGCAAAATGGCGCCAGCGCCAGGCGTGGTCTTATCATAGTATAGCCGGGCGGCTATACCGTTTGGGCACGTGACAAGTCGGTCGCTAGGGGCCAGGCGGGTCCTTATTTATTTATTTTTATAATTAGTATAGCCGCCCGGATATACTCGGCGTTTTGGTGTTATAAAAAAGGTATAGCCGCACGGCGATACCAGGGGTTTTTATCATTGAAAAACGTATAGCCTCTCGGCTATACTCGGGATATGTTTTTTTTGGTTGAAAAGAGTACAGCCAGTTTCTGCTTGAGAGTATCATCTTTTGAATACAATACAATACATATTCAAAATATATTATAAATTTTGGAAAAAAAAAAAATATATATTATAAATAACTGCATTAAGAAGAAACAAGCAAACCTGAAACGAAAGGTTTCCAGGGCACAATACACTAGTTATATTTTCTGCTTTCTGTCTAGAAACAACAACATGGATGTAATCTCCAGTATTATAAGCTTCCTGCATGTGCGGATCATTGCATATAAAAATTAGTCTCACCTAAAATTTATAGGAGACAAGAGATGGATTCTATTGAAACATGAACAATTGGAGGAGAGAATACTGTAGCTACTCTTTCATTTGGGATTTCCGTGGGATATTGATTAAAAATGCATTTCTTGAAATGCATAATGTTTAATGTCAGTAAAAGACACAGAATAAAATTTCAAACAAAAATTAAGCACAACTTTGTAATAACTGTTTCTAAAAGAAAATATGATGTGTGAGAAACAGGAAAATTATCTACTAATAGGGGTGAACCGCAACTCCCGGATTCCACAGAATGAATACTTTAGGATACAGTATCAACAACGTCAGGAAAAGTGCTTTTGGGGAAGGTAAATAGAAGCAAACCAGTCTTTGTCAGCTTAACCAGCTAAAGAAGAGGACTTGTGTCTCCTTCCCCATCCACCTTCGCAGGATACAAAGGAGGACCCTTTTGAAGATCATCTGTCATTGCCATTATGATTACTAAAAAGTGTCCCCAGAGTTAGCAGTAGCCTCCTCGCCATCTGTATTCTCTTTGGAAAGCTCCCTTCTTTTAGAAACGGCTTCTTCTTCTGAACTGCAACTATTAAGGCACTGAACATACTGAAAACATAGACATAGAAACAAATTGCTATAAAAGACTACTGATTTCAGCTAAAAGCTAGCTAGTATAAAGTTATGAACTCTTTCTTTTATATACATATAGCAAAAGCATTAATAATGAAACATAGATTTCTCAAAGACCCGGATACAAGAACAGTAGGATAAGATGTTAACAACAGGAGTCACTTTTAAAAAACAAGATACAAGATAAGTAACTCTATACTTATCTTGGTATCCCACGGTAGACTGCTCTCAAACTCTAATTCAAAAAACAAGACCCATTCCTTCTCATGGGTATTGTAGAATGTTGTGTTGTCTATGTTGACATTGGTTAATGGAAGCAAAAGATTTCAACAATGATCCCCAAAATATAAAAATTTATTGGCGAGACACAACAAGCAAATCATAATCCATACAATATCAGCCGCACAAGAGGATTCAATTCAACCAAACCGAAAGTGTCCGTTCCACCATCATGAACAAGTGTAAGTGATCAATAATAGATTGTGATTGTTGATCAACTTCCTTTTTTTCTTTTCTTTTTTTGGTCTCAAATTTTAATTTATCAACATTCGTTTATTTTAATTTATGTCCTTATAAAAAATAAAAATAAAAATTTATGTCAAAAATTTAATGGGTTTACCTCCTCCTATCCCATGTAGGATTATTTTCGGATTATAGTTTCATATTCCAAGTAGGATTTTGATTACTTCTCACAAAATTAGATCTGTATACATACCTCCTCCTATCCATCCCAGTGTATTTGCTATATGTTTTTTAGGTTATGGATTCTTTTGAGGAAGAAAATCAATCAACGATGGCCAGTGAGCAATATTATATGTCGTTACATCCGGAAGTTCGATTTCAACCCAAAGATGAAGAACTGATTACACATTTCTTGAAGAGAAAAATCTCCGGCGATCCTCTCCCAGTGAACATAATCATTGACGAATTGTCCTTCTATGAATACAGTCCTATCCAACTCTCAAGTAAAATTTCTTTCGTTTCTTTCCTTGGTTGTTTTTTTTTTTGGGTAGACTTTAAATTATGAGATAGCTTTTTTGTTTTTTGTTCACAGAGATGTATGCGTTTGCAAACCAGAAAGAGCTGTATTTCTTCACTCCAGTCGAACGGAAATTTACAGACTCTACTTTGCCACGACGCAAAGCTCGTAATGGGTATTGGATACCAACTAGTAAATATGAAAACATTGAACAAGGTACTGAGATAATCGGAGTGAAAAAGTCATTACGATTTTATGCTGGGCGTCCTAGGAGCGCTTCAACAAAAACCAACTGGACTATGTTAGAGTATATAGCTGGGGGAACCGCAGCAGTATCACAAAGCCCTTATTTTGTGAGTAACTTTTTTCCACACTACTAGTCCTAAACTATTTATGAAAGCACTTCTGCTGATAAGCGGTTTTACTAGAAGCGCCGTTGCACACCTAATGTTCGTTATGATGTCACACGTGTTTTACAATATTTCTCCTCACGATCACTTCAATATGCATGTGAAGCTATGATTAACTATATGCTTTTAATTCTGCTGTGCAGTTGTATGATTGGGTTTTGTGCAAGGTTTATGAAGAAGAATTGAGTGCCAAGAAAGTACCAGAGTCGAACAATCAAGGCAACGCTGCCAATGAAGAAGTTACTGGAGAGCAACTCCATTCCCATGTAGGTTTCTTTAATGAGGGAAGTCAATGCGGGAACCAGTGTCCTTCAACAATTGCACTCTTTTTTAAATCATTATAATAAATAATTCATTTTTGCATATTATGTTCTTTGTTCTGCAGATAAGAACTTCCCCCTTGGAAGATCTATTTAGAGCGAAAAAGAGGCGACGCTTGTCAGAGAATTCAGGCCAATTGCCCCTAACAATATGTACAAGCTCATATCGAAGGCCTTGCTTACCGGAGCTTCCCTTCGAAGTCATCATTGAGATTTTGAGCCGGTTGCCTGTAGAGTCTGTACTAAGGTTCAAGTGTGTGTGCAGGCAATGGTGTTCCACGTTTCAAGAAGAAGATTTCATTGCAAAACATAGGGTTCGGGCCAGTCCTCTACGACTTCCTTATCGATACATGTGGGACTATAACAATTCGGTCAGTTTTTATGACGAAAATTTCAAGCTTATTGGTAATTCTTGTGGCTTGTTTTTGGAGAAAAATTATTCTACGCAAGTTTTCCGTATTAGGAATTTTGCGATGCACCAAGTACTCTACTTGCCTCATGCACCCAATGCATACATCAACACAATGTGTTTTGTTTTGAATTTATCGACTGGTGAGTGTAAAGTGGCATATTTTTATATCAAGGGGAATTTGGCCCCTGAAGTAGGACTTAAAGTTTTAACAGTTGGAATTGATTGCCAATGGAGACCCCTGAAGCTCTCCAACCAAACTATACGGGGGCAACACAAAAAATATTTGCGGAAACGACATATTCTAAAACCAAATCAGACTGAAGGGGCTGCTCATTATGTGGAAATCATTAGAGCTGGACAAGATTTATACCTAGAAGTTCAGTCTTTTGATCTTTGGACTGAATGTTTCGTCACTACTAGACTGCCCGAGGGGGTGTTTGGAAACTTGGAAAAAGTTTTCGTGTTCAGTTGGAACCACCATTTGGCTGTTGGTGAGATTGTAGAGGAAGCCCTTAATGTATTGGTGCTGGAAGACTTCAAGGCCCATAAATGGAGTGAAAATAAGATCGTAGTTCCCTGTAAATTTTTAAAGGACAATCCAAGCTTGAAGAATCAAATTTGGGCGCCAGTCAGAGTTATTTATGGTAAACTTGAGTTGCAGGGAGAGAAAAGTTTTCTTACTTATGATATGGAAAGGGAGATAGTTACAAGGATCGAGGTCGGTAACGATTCTGACAGGGAACATTTTGCTTCACATAAACCCAGCCTCTTGACTTTTAAGGGGATGAGACCGAAAAGAGTTAGGTGCGATTAGATTGAATTATGATTTCACTCACTTACATAGTGCCCAAGCCTCCTCAAGTTGGTGTTCAATCTATTTATGGATTTTTTTTTATGTTTTCTGTCTTTTGGAAATTTTATTGTTTTCATCATTTTTTGCATATTGTTTCTTTTTTCCATTGACTAATTTGAATTAACCAGCCTATCCTTCCTCATATTATTTCGAATCTTATAGTATACATCGTGCAATCTTGAAATTTGTATTATGAACATAACTGGAGGGTGCCCCATGTGAACTAAAATCTTGGCTCCGGCTCTTTTGTTTACTAAGTTCTTTTTATAAAAATAAAAATTAAAAAAAATTCAGGGGTTAAGTATAAACAGTTCAAAGATTATAGCGAAAGCATAAGAAAAAGAAAGAAAGTCCAACAAAAAGAAAGAGAGAAAGATGAAATGCCATTTCAGGGCTAAGTGTGACATCAATCCTATTGCCAGTTGGTTGATTCACTCATCTTATATTAGTATACTGCAGATGCAGAAAGTTGTGCTTTCTTTCTGTGTTGACATTGGTTAATCGAAGTAATAGGTATCAACAATCAACTTTCTTTCTTTGTCTCAATTTTTTTATTTATTCAAACGATATTCTATACTTTAATTTAATATAAACTACGGAGAAGGGGATTTGAATTCGGGTGCAAAGTGGAGAGCACATCCACTCTAGCCAACTTGGCTAAAACCCATGTCTCCTTCTTTGTCTCAAATTTTAATTTATTATAATATACATGTGTCAGAAGAAAATAAATTGTGGAAATATTATTTGTCATCCTTGAATTTGTTATTTGGTTTTCTGTGTGTAATTGGTTTCCAGTTTTTATTATTTTCTCATTCAGTTTTCTGTTCCTAGTAGAATTGGGAAATATTATTTTCCTATTTCTAGTAAGATTGGCTTTTTTCTCCGTACTTTCACAAAACTAGATCCTTATAAAATAAAGACCTCCTCCTAACCCCAGTGTATTTGCTATTTTTTAGGGCTATGGATTCTTTTGAGGAAGAAAGTCAATCAATGATGAGTGTAAAGTGACAGGTTTTTATCGACTAGTGACTGTAAAGTGGCATGTTTTTATTGCAAGAGTGCAGACTTGAACGGTGAAGCAGGTCACGAATGGCGACCCCTGAACCCAACAAAACCGACATATCGCCGCTGAGGCAGCGTGTGCTGGAACAACAGTGTTTTGGGGCCAAATCAGATTGCAGGGGCTGCTCTGCTCATACGGTGGAAGTTAGTAGAGATGGACAAGATTTGTTCCTTGAAGTTCAGTCTCTTGATCTTTGGAATGAATGCTACTTCACTACCAGAGTGCCCCAGGGAGTGTTTGGAAACTTGGAAAAAGTTTGTGCTTTCCTTTGGAACCAACGTCTGGCTGTTGCTGATATAGCAGGGGAAGCCTTAGAGCACTTCCAGCAGCCCCCTAGGGCAAGGGCTGGGGGGGGTAAAACTCAAAAACCCATTTCCAGCAGCAAATTCCAGCCCGGGCAACTACTGGGGTCCACCTGCCTGGGCAGGCCCGAAGGCAGAATCAGCACTACGGTTTTAATTATAAAAAAAGGTATAACACGTGGCGAAATGGGCGCTAGGCGCTAGGCGCTAGCGGGTTTTTCTTTTTATAAATGATATAGCCGTGCAGTCGCAGTTTTATATATTAAAAATAGTACCGACGCGCGGCTATACTATGGTTTTTATTTTAAAAATAGTATAGCTGCGCGACTATACTATTTTGGACACGTGCCATACGGGCTCTAGAGCCAGGCGGGTGGCACTTTTTTTAATTATAAATAGTATAGCCGTGCGGCTATACACCGGGTTTAAAAAAGTAAAAATAATATAGCCGCGCGGCTAGACTAAGCAAAGACATGAAACAGCGAAGCGCGCGCACCTCGAAAAGAGTCGTGCAGTTATGGGCATCGCCGCATAAAGCAGGGAAAAAAATATATAAAAAAAAAGGGACAGGGTCCCCACGTCGTCGTTTAAGAAGATCCGCGTGGCTCCAAAAACTCTGAACAAATTCATTCACCGCTCTCGAGAAGCCACGGCGCGACACTTCTCCCTCCCTCTTCTCCTTCTGCTGGTATCTCTCTCTCTCTCTCTCTCTCTCTCTGTGTAGCTTTGGATTGTATTCATATATATTCTGCTATTTTCTCGCTACTATTCCAAGTTCTTTTTCTTAAATTCAAATTTTCAATGCTGCTTGTTATCGCTTTCTGTTTCAGTTCATAGCGTTTTATTTTTCCTGGTCCAGATCTCTCTTTGCGCTTGTGTTTGCTTTACGTTCTGTTTGATATCGTAAATTCTTTCCCGATAAAGTTTATGTAATTTGCTGTGTGTATGTGTGTATATACGTGTTATTATATATATATATGTCAGAAGAAAATAAAATTGTGGAATTATTATTTTTCAGAAAAAATGGCATCTTAGTGATGAGAAATAGTTCCTAACTGTACCTCCTTCAATCTTTTGTTTCTGGAAGAAGTTATGATATTAATTTTCTGAAGATGCTTAGTTTTCGGGGTATGCAAGTTGAGGAAATTTTGTGCTTGATAGACTAGGTTTATTGAAAGAGGAGGAGAAAGAGAGCAATATGTGCATGCATTTTCGATTGGAATGAAAGTGGTATAGAAACAAACTGATTATATTAATGTTTGGAATATTTCGGTGTCATATCTTTATTGCAGTAGTTTTGCTCAGTCCTGGTGTACAACCGGGCTGTACACAAAATATGTTTGATTATGGAAAACATTTGGATTAAACACCTCACTGTCAGGGCTTATATCCTTGTGCTAAACCCTTTTCAGTTTTGTACTTAACCCAGTTTTGAATTTCTAAATTACCTGAGTAAGCAATAGTTATGGTTCCCATGATTAGTGAATTTGACAGCTTTTTGCTAAGAACACTAATGGAGTCAGACGAGGAGCAGGATACTTTTCATGGAGTTTATCCCGAATTCGGTGCAATTTTCATGTCAAGCAGTGTAACGAAAAATGAGTGCTTTAGACGAAGACTGTTTGGCCTTCCATCTGCAAAAGGCCACTTTGTTGAGCAGGTTAAAAGAGGAATGATTTTGTTTCTGTTTGAATATGAGAGGAGAGAACTTCACGGTGTTTTTCAGGCATGCTCTGATGGGACAATGAACATTTCCCCTCGTGCATATAAGTCATCAGGAAATCAGTTTCCTGCTCAGGTACCGTATGACTAATGTATGGTCATATCCTGTCACCATATATGCCCTTAAATATTTAGCTGAGAGAAGGCTTTTGTGCTTTTGTTTACCTTCAGTTATCCAGTGTTTCCTTTATGTTTTGGTTTATGACAATCTGATTGATTCTTGTTATTCATTTATCCAGGTAAAAGTCAAACAAATATGGCGTTGTCATCCACTTCCAGAATCTGAATTCAGTGATGCAATCAAAGAAAACTATTTTTCTAAATGGAAGTTCAATTTTGGTCTCTCCAAAGCTCAGGTATTCTTCTTTCGCATTCATTCAGACCCTTATGGGATTAAGAATCACCTTCTTGAAGTATTGTATCATGGATATTTGTAGGTTCGAAGGCTTCTAACATTGTTCAGTCCACAAAAGGTAGAAGATCAATGGCCTCCAAGAGAATTAGCGAGAAGTAAAGAATCAAGCCCAGTGTACGCTACTGCTAAAGTCAGGGAAGTCGATGAAGGCAGGTCTGTATTGAGTGATAAGGTAAACAATGAGATTGATGCTGACAACAGTACAAAGCCAATGATGACTCAATATATGGGGACCTCCTTTGAGAATGTTGGAAGAGAAGATGGTGGCAGGCTGGAAAATGATAAAGTAGACAATAAGGCTGGGGAGATCGTGCAGAGTGCGAATTTTGGGCGCTTTCTGGATAAAGTTGGAAAAGTGGATACTAACTTTATAGTGTACGAGATGGCACAAAATGAACTTAATGTGGATATTGAACATGTGGCATCCATGTCAACAGAGTATCCAAAGTTGAGTCAATCTGGATTAGGTGATGATGCCATGGTAATGCAGGGAATGGCAGCAAACGTCAATTACTTGGATGTTGAGATTGGGCCAGCAACATCAACACAAAATCTTGGCTATCCTTTTGAAAAAGTTAGAATTGATGATGATTCCAGGTTTTTAATGAGTGGTAAGTTGCAAATTGGAAATAGTGAAGGTAATGGTTTTGGGCCAGCTATTTCATCTGAGTACCCTGCTTTCTTTCAGTCTAGTCTGGATACACCTGTCTGTCCTGGCATGCCTGTTCAAGAAGCAGGTTCTTTGATTCAACATCAAACTAGATCAACCTCCACTGTCAGCCATCAAATGGAGCTGCAGTTCCTAACTGTACCTCCTTCAATCTTTTGTTTCTGGAAGAAGTTATGATATTAATTTTCTGAAGATGCTTAGTTTTCGGGGTATGCAAGTTGAGGAAATTTTGTGCTTGATAGACTAGGTTTATTGAAAGAGGAGGAGAAAGAGAGCAATATGTGCATGCATTTTCGATTGGAATGAAAGTGGTATAGAAACAAACTGATTATATTAATGTTTGGAATATTTCGGTGTCATATCTTTATTGCAGTAGTTTTGCTCAGTCCTGGTGTACAACCGGGCTGTACACAAAATATGTTTGATTATGGAAAACATTTGGATTAAACACCTCACTGTCAGGGCTTATATCCTTGTGCTAAACCCTTTTCAGTTTTGTACTTAACCCAGTTTTGAATTTCTAAATTACCTGAGTAAGCAATAGTTATGGTTCCCATGATTAGTGAATTTGACAGCTTTTTGCTAAGAACACTAATGGAGTCAGACGAGGAGCAGGATACTTTTCATGGAGTTTATCCCGAATTCGGTGCAATTTTCATGTCAAGCAGTGTAACGAAAAATGAGTGCTTTAGACGAAGACTGTTTGGCCTTCCATCTGCAAAAGGCCACTTTGTTGAGCAGGTTAAAAGAGGAATGATTTTGTTTCTGTTTGAATATGAGAGGAGAGAACTTCACGGTGTTTTTCAGGCATGCTCTGATGGGACAATGAACATTTCCCCTCGTGCATATAAGTCATCAGGAAATCAGTTTCCTGCTCAGGTACCGTATGACTAATGTATGGTCATATCCTGTCACCATATATGCCCTTAAATATTTAGCTGAGAGAAGGCTTTTGTGCTTTTGTTTACCTTCAGTTATCCAGTGTTTCCTTTATGTTTTGGTTTATGACAATCTGATTGATTCTTGTTATTCATTTATCCAGGTAAAAGTCAAACAAATATGGCGTTGTCATCCACTTCCAGAATCTGAATTCAGTGATGCAATCAAAGAAAACTATTTTTCTAAATGGAAGTTCAATTTTGGTCTCTCCAAAGCTCAGGTATTCTTCTTTCGCATTCATTCAGACCCTTATGGGATTAAGAATCACCTTCTTGAAGTATTGTATCATGGATATTTGTAGGTTCGAAGGCTTCTAACATTGTTCAGTCCACGAAAGGTAGAAGATCAATGGCCTCCAAGAGAATTAGCGAGAAGTAAAGAATCAAGCCCAGTGTACGCTACTGCTAAAGTCAGGGAAGTCGATGAAGGCAGGTCTGTATTGAGTGATAAGGTAAACAATGAGATTGATGCTGACAACAGTACAAAGCCAATGATGACTCAATATATGGGGACCTCCTTTGAGAATGTTGGAAGAGAAGATGGTGGCAGGCTGGAAAATGATAAATTAGACAATAAGGCTGGGGAGATCGTGCAGAGTGCGAATTTTGGGCGCTTTCTGGATAAAGTTGGAAAAGTGGATACTAACTTTATAGTGTACGAGATGGCACAAAATGAACTTAATGTGGATATTGAACATGTGGCATCCATGTCAACAGAGTATCCAAAGTTGAGTCAATCTGGATTAGGTGATGATGCCATGGTAATGCAGGGAATGGCAGCAAACGTCAATTACTTGGATGTTGAGATTGGGCCAGCAACATCAACACAAAATCTTGGCTATCCTTTTGAAAAAGTTAGAATTGATGATGATTCCAGGTTTTTAATGAGTGGTAAGTTGCAAATTGGAAATAGTGAAGGTAATGGTTTTGGGCCAGCTATTTCATCTGAGTACCCTGCTTTCTTTCAGTCTAGTCTGGATACACCTGTCTGTCCTGGCATGCCTGTTCAAGAAGCAGGTTCTTTGATTCAACATCAAACTAGATCAACCTCCACTGTCAGCCATCAAATGGAGCTGCAAATCACTAGCCATTCTTATACAGCATCCTACGGAGATGCGATTGTTACCACGACTCTTCCCTATGATCCTGATGCTCTTACTCTGAACCGTCTATGCTCACCATCGACGGGGGTTAATCACAGTTCAAATTCTGTTCAAGATTGTTATGACCAAGCTGGCATTCCTTCCTTGAGAAATCAGGCATATCCTTTGTATACAGAGCCAAACACAACAAATCGAAGCTTAGGTGACACTTCTAAGTTTGATGTTCGTGTCCCATTCACAGCACCTGACCATTATGAGCGCTCATGTCACGGGAACATCATGCCTTTTCCAGGGATGACATACTCTGAAGAAATGGCTTTAGAATCCACTGGAAGACATAGTTATGGAGAACCATTTTTGAAGCCTTCTTTAGCACCTGAAGCTTTATCAGAAATTGGAAGTAATCGGAGGGAAATCAAGAGCCCTTCATCTTATCCTTCCTTTGTGATTGATCGTGGACATTCTGTTGCATCACAAGACAAAATTGACCATGAAATAGCACATAAGGTGAAATTCAAACCATTCACCTCTAGTGTAACTTCACCAGAGGAGCTTGAGCGTCAGTTGCAACGTCGCGTTCATCCTGTTGATCGGGGCAGTGTGGACCACTGTGAGCATAAATCTTTTGATCCTGATCTCAAGTCTTTTGAAACTTCTGAAGGAAGGAGTTCTGATCGTGTGAATAACAGAAGTGTGTTTTCTCGTTTGGGTTTGAATTCGGATAAGCATGTCAAAAAGAATAGTACAGATGCTGCATATGAGGAAAATGATAAGGATTCAGCAGTGGATGAAGTCATGTCAATGCTGAGCAAGAGTCTCTACGACTGGGTGAAGTCAAAAAAATCTAAACCACCTAATAGACGACATGACGTAGAGAAGTTTAGGAATAAAAAGCAGACCACAGTGCACTCTGAGTTGGATAGTAATTACTTGGAAATGATTTCAGAGAAGTCAAACATGATTTCTGCTACATCCACTGAAGATAAAGATGATCAAAGGAGTGAAGAGATACCATTTGTGGATTTTAAGCGGCGGAGCAAATTGCGGAAATTTAATGGTGATGACAAAGCTAGAGCGAATGATGAAAGTGCAGGAAGTGATGGAGTCTTGGGTGGGCAGCACAAGAGAAGGAAGCTGATCAGGCCGAACTTCAGTGACAACAAGCCACTTGATAAAAGGAAAATTGCAAACACTTCTCTGATTGTACAAGTATCATCAAAAGAATCTTCTGTTGGTGGTGAAGATGCTAATGGCAAGAGATGGAAGCTAGTTAGGCCGACTTTCAGAGAGAATGAACCATGTGATGAAAAAATAACTGAGGAAAACTCTTCTATGATTTTACAATTATCATCCCAACAATGTTCTATAAGTGAAGATGCTGGTGGAATTTGTGAGGATTCTGTTGGAAGCCAAGTTAAGTTGTTACCGCAAGGTACACAATTGTCGTGTGTGGTTTCTCAAGGCTGTCATGAAAATGAGAATATTGAAACTGAAAGATATCCAAACTATGAAATAGAAGTTAAAGTTGAAAGTTCTGGGGCATCCCTTGAAATTGAAAAAGAAGGCGGAAAGGAGCCTCGTCATGGTGTTGGCAGCCAAATTGCTAGCCTTGCAATCCCGAAGTTGTTTTTGCAAAGTACAGGATTGTCACATGTGGTTTATCAAAGCCGCGAGAATGAGAATATTGAAACAGAAAGATCTCCAAAATGTGAAAGAGAAATTAAAGTGGAAAGTTCTGGGACATCTCCCAGAATTGGAGATGAAGGGCGCAAAGAGCCTCTTCATGATGTTGGCAGCCCAATTGCTAGCCTTGCAATCCCGTACAAAGACAATAATCCTAACATTCAGAATGACTTAGAGTATAAGGATCCTACTTTTAACAGATCGCCTCAAGATTGTTATGAGAACAGTCAGTTCACTGTGAAGGAGTCAGCCGTGCAAATACCTAAACCAAATTCTGGAACAGCAAATGAATTTTCTGTATTTGAATGTGGCGGAGACAATGAACTGGAGTTGCTTCCAAGAGTCGAACTTTGTCTAAACAATGCTGATCTTAGTATCAGTAATATAGGCAGCTCAAGGAATCTGCACTCTGAGGTGGAAAGAGTAGCCAAAGAAGTTGCAATTTGTGTAGATGCTGGTATAGGTAATAACCACCACGGATCCAATGATATACAGTCTGAGGCATCTCTTAACACTGATGGTTGCTTCAACAAACAAGAACCATCTCAAGAGCACAGATCCAGTAAACTGTATGAGGCATCTTTTGGCACTGCCGGTCGCCTCAACAAGCCAAAACCTTCACAGGAAGTTCAGGACCTGAATGTCCGATTTGGAGAGAGACTTTTTATACTTAGTAATGGTCTCAAAAACTTTGAACGTGATGCTTCTAAGCATGTGGGTGAAAAGAGGGATGTTCTTCCAATCAGCAGAGGTATTGTTTGCAAAAGTTCTGACATTGGTACTTCTGAGAATGTGGAAGAGAGGAAGGATGTTCTTCCAAGCAGTCGTAGAGTCAGAAAAGGCGAACTCAGGAGAGCCTACAACCGCTCTGAAACTGATACTTCTAAGCATGTGGTCGATAGAAATGATGTTCTTCCAATCAGCGGCTGTAGCAAAAGCTCTGACACTGATACCTCTGAGCCTGTGGAAGATAGGAAGGATGTTATTCGAAGCAGTGACGGAGTCAGAAAATGTGAACTCAAGACAACCTACGACCACTCTGAAATTCATACTTCTAAGCATGTGAGCAGTCAGAAAGATGCTATTCCAATCAACGGTGGTGATGTTTGCAAAAGCTCTGACATTGGTACCGCTTTGAATGTGGAAGACAGGGAGGGTGCTCTTCAAAGCAGTGGTGGAATTAGAAACTCTGAACTTAAGACAGCCCACAACCAAAATACAAGATTAACTCATGATTTTGAGTTTGATGATGCTTCTGCAAGTGTTGACAGTGAAAGAGAAAACAAGAGGCTGTGGAGTATTTTAACCTCCAGGTTGAATAATCTGAAGAATGCTCAACAACAGTGACAAGCTCCTGGATTTTGGTCGATGCCATTTTTGCGTAGGCTCTCTGATCTTGGTTATGAATTCAAGTACTATTTTTTGGATATGTTGACTGGAATTTTAACTTTCGCTTATAAAATAGTCGTTGGGTGTGGTGGTTTTGTGGGTGATGATGACTTCAAAATGAACGTTGTCAATCCACTTGTTTTGAGGGCTGACCTCAATCTTGAGCTTTGGCAGGAACAACGAAATTCGATCTCGATGTTATTAATGAATATATATCTAATGCTTATGGTGCCGTACATTGTTTGTATTAATATGACTGCTCTTATACCCACAGTTTCAATTTTGAGAACAGTCCATCTCCATGTGTGTTTTTACTTGTTGCAGAAGTTTTCAAGCGTAGGAAGACTTTAAACTTGTTGAAGAAAAAAAGAAAGGAATGCTCAGAAATTGGGAATGTGAGGGGTGCGCACAAAACCACCATAATTGTTCGAATTGGTCAAATGAAATCAATTCAAGCGATTTAGGTTCGATTTTTACATGAAAAAAATGTAATCTTAGATTGAACCAAATCAAAATGCAATGAGATTAGTTTGGTTTGGTTTGGTTTGATTTGAGACTTGGCTTTTCTCTTAGTTACTATGTTGATATCTATTGCTTCATCTTCAATAGTGAAGAGTTTTGTCAATTATTGTTAAATTTGCATTATTAAATGTTTGCATAATTGTTTAGGTAGGGAAATGACCGAACCAAATCGGCGACATTAATTTGATTCGATTGTGCTTACCAGTTTGAGGTCTAAACCGAACCAAAACAAGATAAAGAAAAAATAAATTAATGGCATAGGAAGAAAATAAAAAATTGTGTTTTTATTTTGGCGGAAAAGAGTAGGAACACAGATCAAAATATTAACTGGATTTTGCTCTAACCCACCAAAAAGTGAGACTTTTGAACAATTTCCTTGATTCCATTACTGAAAAAGACTGCACTTGTGAAAGCGGCAGTTATTTGCTCTCTCAGTCTCTCACCTGAGTCTCTCTCTCTCTCTCTCTCTCTCACTCCTCTGCCCTCTTCCGATGACACCCAAACCTCGCAACCCCAAAACGGACCCAAAATGCTGAGAAGCATTCGGTCGCGACGGCCCCACCGACCCCGTTACGGCGTGTACATCTGCGCCGTTATCTCCGCCCTCCTCCTCCTCCTCTCCGTCTCTCTCCTCTACACTCGCCTCTCCCATTCCGAATCTCACCACTTCCACTACCGCCACCAGAACCCCAATGCTCAATACGGCGACGTTTCTCTCACCAACCCCCTCATCTCCGACGAGCTGAACGACGGCGTTTCCATCGCCACTGAGGACAAGATCGACGAGCTCGATGACGTCGTAGAAGAGACACCTAAAGACGAGGAAGTGGAGGACGAGGAGGATCCGCAATCCGACATTTCTCAGTCGAAGGTTTCTGGGTATGTATTTGATCATGTAACTGGGGTTATTAGGAGGGGTTTCAATAAGCGTAAAATTGAGGATTGGGACGAGGATTACAATGGGTTTACTGCGGGATTGGGTGCACTGGATAAGAGTAAGGTCGCGTTTGGATCTGATGATGTTCCTGTGGATATGGAGGTGCGGAGGAGGATGAGTGAGGTTGTGGGCATTGAGGACGCGCTTTTGTTGAAGGTGGGAAGTAAGGTTTCGCCGTTGAGAGAAGGTTGGGGAGAGTGGTTTGATAAAAAAGGCGACTTTTTGAGGAGGGATAGGATGTTTAAGTCCAATCTGGAGATGTTGAACCCTTTGCACAATCCAATGCTGCAAGACCCTGATGCGGTTGGCGTTACTGGGTTGACTAGGGGTGATAAGGTGTTGCAGAAATGGTGGTTGAATCACTTTAAGAAGGTCCCATTTACCGGGAAGAAGCAGTTGAAAATTTCAGGGAGGGCCCGAGAAGTGAAGCTTTATGAAAATGGCGGTGAGGGTGGGAAAAAGGGGAGTAGTAGTGCAGATGGTGTTGTGAATGTAAGTGGAATAGCTGTAGGATCAGAGCTTGATGAAAATGAGAATGATAGGAAGGCCGGTAAGGATTTGAATTCTGGTGCAAATGGAAAATCTAATACGGATAGAAATTTATCCTATATGAGTAATGCGACTGATAAAGAGATTGGGAACACTGTTGAACAAATTAGTGATTCTGATCAAGTGGGTGGCTTCAAGGATGAGTTTTCAGGTGTTATATATGCAGATGGCAAGAGATGGGGTTACTATCCCGGTTTGAGTCCCTTTTTATCATTCTCGGATTTTGTAGATACATTTTTCAGGAAGGGGAAATGTAATATGAGGGTGTTTATGGTGTGGAATTCTCCGCCTTGGATGTATAGTGTTCGACAGCAGCGGGGACTTGAGAGTTTACTCTCCCATCATCGAGATGCCTGTGTTCTAGTGTTGTCTGAGACAATTGAGCTTGATTTCTTTAAAGATAACTTTGTAAAGGACGGGTAATTTCTCGAAATTTGCTTATTTTAATACATTTATTTGTTGATATGCTAATCTACATTTTGTACTGAGGCAATTCTTTTTCGATAGTTACAAAGTTGCTGTTGCAATGCCAAACCTTGATGAATTACTAAAGGATACTCCGACCCACATATTTGCTTCTGCCTGGTTTGAATGGAGAAAGACAAAGTATTATGCTACTCATTACAGTGAGCTTGTCCGCCTTGCTGCTCTCTACAAGTAAGCTTGTTTGGTTGCATAGACATCTTTATACGGAGTAGTGAGTTTTTTGACACCACTTGTGACTGTTGTGAACTTTTTGATTTGGTACGGTATTGGTAAACATGCACAAAAATATAGCTATAGTCATAGATCTAGAACTTCTGTGGGCATTACTGATCATATTTCTGAAGAGAATGCATGAGTAATCAAAGTTTTAAAATTTTTTATTTTAACAAAGCTGTGTACTAAAAATATATTCGCAAAAGGGGAAATTAACTGATTTCTTCCCCCTGTTTTGGAGTGTGGAGGGAAAATATGAAATGTTTTGTCTGCAAGATATCATCCCTCCAAATTATTCGGAAAATTTCATTCCCCTTGCACCATTCCACTTCCATTAAAAAAAAAAATTGACAAATAAATTTTAAGTCAGTTACAGAGATGTCATATTGTATTTGCTTAGGTGGTTGAGTTTTATAAGACTGCAACTTTTGTTAAGATGAGAAGTTCAATTTTAACGCAACACAAGATGAGTTAATTTGCCTGCTGAACATCTCTTGGAATCCTTGATGTGTGTGTTGAATTTATTTTCTATGAATTGAGTATGGCCATTACCTTCCTTTCTGATATGATCAAGTAAGCATGTGTAGGCTACCTTGAATAGGATAGTACACTATACATAACTTCAACATTTTTCTGTTGAGGGTAAATATCTATCTAACTTCAGTTATGCGTTTTCTGTTGCATTTCCAGATATGGCGGAATATATCTTGATTCTGATATCATAGTCCTGAAGCCATTATCTTCACTTCGCAATTCTGTTGGTAAAGAGGATCAACTTGCTGCAAATTCTTTGAATGGTGCTGTTATGGCATTTGAGAGGAAAAGGTATTAAAATACTATATCGGGCAAAATCATTTTGAATTGGACTAATTATATTAAATATTTTTATGGTGAGGTTCTTTTGCGTTCTTGGGGTAAGTAGCTTTTATGGGTACATTGTCTAGAGTTCACTCCTAATGCTTTCCCTTCACCTCATCTGCCCTATTGGTTTAGGAATTCATAAAAAACTCTGGAGAAACAAAGTCCAGGGTTAGAAGATATTTGAATTTAAAATTAGGGAATTGAGTTATACTTTGCAATTTTTAATGGCATTTATGTCTCCATTTATTAACTTTTTTGTTTATATAATTTTGAGTGGCACTGTCGGGGAGGATATTAAACTACTACATCGAATTGTGTGAAAAAAATTTGGATTTGAGATTTTTTTTCACGTTCGCATGCAGTCCCTTCATAATGGAGTGCTTGAAAGAGTTTTATATGACATATGATGATACTCGTTTGAGATGGAATGGGGCTGATCTGTTGTCAAGAGTTGCACGAAGGTTTTTGGGCGTTCGTAATAAATCAATTAGACAGCTGCAGTTGAAAGTGCAACCTTCTTTCATCTTTTTCCCAATTACTCCTCAGAATATCTCAAGGTAATCTTCTGGTTAATTTTCTCCAATGCTGGATGAGTGTTGCAGGCTGTGCTGTGAGAGTGAATCGATCTGTGAAAATTCACTGTAGATCACCAATCACATCCCACAGCAGTCCTGCAACATTCATCCCTCATTGGAGAACGCCCCTGACGTTCTGATTTCTTACTCCTTTTATGCTTTATATGGATGCATGTGGTGTGGGTGCATTTTGCTCGTATAATTTTTTGAGTATGTGTGCTATTTTTCCCTTTTCAGTTTGTCTTTGAGTTCTTATGGTGTCATTTTTACTCAAATACCACTATTAGGAAGTGTCTTTTTCATAAGAGCAAAACTATTTAAAACAAGGGTGTTTCTTTAAAGAAGATCAAGTACAGTAAATCACGCAATGCTACTATTCTGAAACTAATAAAGCTACCTCAGAAGGCATGCTGTCCACCCATATTGTCCTTGAATTAACAGTTCCTTTCTTAGCTTGATCTCCTATTTAGCTGACAAGCGAATCATACGGTCATGAATGGTCAAGAGCTCCATTGCTTTTTCATAGAAGATAGGCCAAAGTCAGAAGTTCTAAGATTTGTTAGTTTATTTTTATCAATGGTTAATGCTCAATAGTTTATAGAAGGCAGGTAACAAGTGTTATGATTATGGTACTGTTAGCTTTGACCGAAACAGGTCGCAAGTTTGATTTGTTGTTTCACTCACTGATAGCATGCAAGTTTGGGCAAAGCATGCACATGCATCAAGGGTGACTGTTTGTTCACGCACTTGATAAATTGCCTTGGTTAGTGAGCTGGGAAACTCGATTTCTTCAAGCATTTTTGTAACTTCCACATGCTGGATGGGCAAAGGCTATGTGAGCTAAAGAGTTCTGTAATCATTGGAAAAATCTTATACTCTTCAACATTTTTTGCTTTTATGAAGCAGTTTGTCATTTCTGGTTTACAAATCTCCCATGGCACTTTCCTCCTTTATGAATTAACCCAATTGAATTCAAACAGATATTTCACTGCACCAACAACAGAGACTGAAAAAGCTGAACAAGATGCTCTGTTCAGAAAGATTCTAAATGAATCGTTGACATTCCATTTTTGGAACAGCTTGACATCTTCTCTCATTCCGGAGCTAG